AATTCTTGGGGGGAAGGCTCAAAACGCCGACGCGTAAGCTGAACATGTAAAACATGGGTCGCGAAAGGAAAGCGCAAGCTCGTGCGTAAGCGACACAGGGCATGGAGTGTTTATAGAGTTGCTCAGCCATTTCAAGGTGAACTTCCGTAGCTAGTGCTTTGCAGGGGATCCATGGGAAATGCGGGGAGTGATCCCAGTGAACACGCCAAGTCTCCCGGTCCCAGATTCAGCTGCCGCTTCCAGGTCGAGGACAGATTCGAGACAGACTTCGGCAAGCTGCTGCGGGGAGTCACAAGGCGCAGATGCAATATTTGTTGAGATGCAATTGTTGAGATGCAGTCCGTAGGCCATGGCCTGACCCTAGGGTCAAAGAAGAGGATGGCCCCAGGTTCGAAGGGTGATGGAGACCGCTGTAGGTTTTGGATGTGGTCCCAATGTTCGCTCATTTCGGGTCATTTGGGAGAGCGAGTCAAGGCAGGTCGTCGGCCTCAGTTAGGCTTCGTAAGATGTTTCCGCAGGCTTCTCCAATCAATGGGCAATCGTGTGCAAACAACCTATGCCGTTTGTTTTGTTGGTTTGATTTACTTGTTTGCCCTGTCTCTTGTGAATGTCCAGTGGCAGATGACTCTCAAGTGAGGACCCCTTTTGCGTTCTCATCTCGCGCTGTAGTTTCCACATGAGACAAACATCAGAACTATACGAACCCTTCTTGAAAAAGGTTCTAAGCACCTTTCAACAGCTGTGTGAGGGGCTTCTGTTTTTGAGTCGTAGCCTTTTTCCCTTTTGTGGCTTCAAAGAGGGCCCCTTTTTCTACCGGTTTCCCAAGCAAGCATCAACTTGGCTTTGTGGCGTGCCACAGGCCACTGCGACCAAATCGCCCGATGCAATGCTTGTTTTCGCGCGCGATGCGAGGTATGAAACCAGTGAGACGGAGGAAGACAGGCCAGGCATGGGAGATGTGTTCGCGAGGGGCTGAGCACCCGTCAAGGGAACAGCAAACATACTTGGATGCGCTTGGATGCCTTGACAGGGCTCCTTAAAAGATACAAGTTGCAACCATTTGAAACATGTTGCTGTTTCCACCAAAATAAAGGGAATCCACCATTTACAAGGCAATGTTCAGGTGTATAATGTAAGGATCCCTGCTTGCACACAGGTGCTTGATTTATGAACACAATATGTTTCTATAATGTACAAGTTCGCGTATCTTGGGTATGTATGCATATTAGATATCCCCTCCGAGCTCCCAACCATTCTTGTCACTTTGCTGACTTTGTTTGTTGCTAGTAGGCGATACATGTATCCCATATAGTATATTCATACCTGGACTCCTTTCGGGTGAAGTATTCGCCGGAGCATGGCAACGGCGCTTTTTCCCATGCGACGGCTGAAACCCCCAACGTGTTTTTTCGGCCCGAGCGCCGGCAGTTTTTCTGAATCCGGCGGAAATTATAAGGTCGAATTCAATTCGATCATTTGCTGGCCCAAGCGGAGGTTCCAGATATGCGCACATTCGAGCAGTAAATCTTTCGCTGATCCGTTGGGCACGGTTTGATGATCTTGGATATCCGTGCAGCCAAAACATGCAGGGGTGTCTACTTTCAAGGAAGGTGCTTATAAATAGAGACGTGGGACATGAATCAGCCACCCTCCAAGACCTTTCTAGCTTTTTGGGAGTCGTTTGGAGTGGGAAACAAGCAGTTTCCTGTTTGAATTTGGGCCCCAGTTGTGATTGCGAATGCCATATGCTCTCAATGGGAGTTCTTCCTCCAACATGCTGCGTGCGTGGGATCCAGAAATCGGAACCTTGACATTAGGTGGCTTCCGCCTTGAGCCAAGAGAACTGCCAGCATCTTCTTCTTTGACTCGTTTGGCTGATTTGGTTCCATGTTTTGTGGCTGCTTTACTTGCAGTCTTTAGGGAATCCAGAGTTGAAACATGTTGGCTGGCCTTGCGAAGCAATGCATAAATTTGTAGCCAAGCTGGAGTTTCACAACTGGGGAGGCGTGTTGGACTCAAATGCTGGGCTTCTTGTCGATGGCTGGAGGCTGCGGGAACCCTTTGTGTCATTCCGGGGGTTCAAGAATGACTTTGACACCAACGTTTGCTCAAGCGAGCTCGCCGGGAATTAAGCCTTGCCATTAAAGAAGAATCACTGTCATGGAGTGACCTATCCTCAAGGCCCCAAATGTTGGTAGCTACTACTATCGTGGAGGTTGGTAGCTACTACTACTATCGTGGAGTTGGGAATTGAATTCTAGAAGCTCTTTTTGCCAATCTCAGGACATTTTGCTTCGTTGCGTGCTAGGGATGCAGAGCTGACGTTCCTTCAGCGCCTCCGGATGTGGCTACAGTCAAATGCCTACGATGCTTGGCAGCCGGAGTGCTGGCCCTTCAACACCAGTTCGGCCCTTCTGCACCCTGGACCCCGGGCGTGTCATGGCGTGTCTCTGTCCGTTTCTGAGTGGACATGATGCAGCCCACTGATTTGGAACAGAGCATTTGATTTTGCAGCGTGGATTCTCATGACCCACATGTGGGCCATTGAGCAAACCACAACTCTCCACGTCTTTTTGGCCATACTGTGGATGGGCAACATCGACTTCGCACCAGTTGGTAGTGGGCTTATCCATCCATCCCAACTGGCGTCCATCCACAGTAGTATAAGGGGCTACACAAGTTACATTGATGAATTATGTCATGGCTGATTTGTTTCGAGTCATGGCACCTCACAACCCCGGCGAACTCTCAGCAAAAGATCTCAGAATGGCCCACCTTAGCTATCAGGACCCAAAGTATGCCCATAGTCAGACGAGTTGTTCGCTTAGGAGATGTCAATGGCCTTCATCTTGTGCCTGAACGTGCTGTGGATGGCCCTTGAGAGCCAGATCGACGGCCTGCAACTGGGCAGCCAGCTCGGGCTCTATCCCACGTCTCCCCACACTGACGAATGGGAGCTCAGCCACTCGGATTCGGAGGAAGATGGCCTGCCTTTTGTAGGGTACCTGTTTTGGAGGTTTAAAAACGAAGCCGCTCGGAAGCCAACGTTGTTGTTGTTTTTTTGGGAGGGGGGGGTTGCCCTATTTTGAAACAAGTCAGGGAGGCTTGCACACACGATGTATTTGGGTGAATTAGAATGAGTCTTAGTCGTGAATATGCGAACCATGGCAATGCTAGATACTCCTTAGCAGTTATTGGGTGTGCATGTTGCATGTAGGATGTTTGATGGACTTTGACTTTGGCTCAAGGAAAAAGTAGAGCGTGTCCTTTGAGGGTTTGTGCCGCAGCGGGGTGGGTCCTGCTTCTTGAATCTTGAGACCTTCAGCGACCTGGATGAAATCGCTTTGAAGCGTTTTGGGTGCCCCATACTGGCGGAATTTTCTCGGCGTAATATATATATATATATATATAGTCACAGTCAATGCGCAGTTGCGTGCGCAGTCAAAAGTACTGGGGACTGTCTTTTTTGATATATAATATGCATATACATATATATATATATATATATATCACAATTCTATAGAGCTACTTATGGATGCATGTGCATGATCAACTGGATGTGATTCTGGTTTCAATCCAACACCTCGGTTTTGTCAAGCACACGTCTCACCGCTCTCCAACTGGTGAGGCTTCATGATCGGAGACCTGTTCTTCACGTCCCTCTTCGCCTTGGACGTGCTGGTGCGGATATGTATTTTGCAGCTGCCCGGTGGAAGAGTTTGGACCCCGTCTTGTTTAGGTCTACGCCCAAACCTGTCCGCCTGTATCTTTCTGGTTCATTTGGGTTTGTGAGTCCGTCAGTAGCTGGCTGGGTGGAAAAGAGAAGGCCACCGGAAGAGTTGAAGACGGAAGCACAGTGGCAGGCAAGCTTTAGCGTGAGCCATGACCGTTGACCGCGTGTCCAAAAATGAGCCAGAAGGAAATCGTGGCAACAAGGTAAGCGTGTAGAGCCATGATGGCCGGGAAGCTCTCACAAGATCCGAATGCATTGCGGAGTTGATCCACAGCAAGGTTTCCAATGCAACAAGTCAGGGGATTAATGAGTTGTTGAAAAAAGCTCAGGTGATTCTTGAGTAATGCAGGTGAGCCAGCTTTTTCCGACCACAAAAGGTGCCGCAATTCTGAAAATTGTTTTTTGTTCCCCATCTGCGAGGATTCAGGGCACCCACCGTACCTGTTGTTTCAAACAGCCAGCAGGGCGGGTAAGTGCCAATAACCCGGATAAAAAAAAGAGAAAGAAGTGAGTTGCAGGAAAACATATCGCCTGGGGCTTGTTAAGCAGAATCTTTAAAGCGGCAAACGGGCTGGTTCATCTAATTTACCTAGTGAAGTATGTTGAAGCTGCGGAAGTTCAAACGTTTTCCGCATGTCAATGTGCGTGTAAGTGTTTGGAGGGCACCCTTTGGTAGGGGTTAGTTTAGATGGAAACACAGCCCGCCGTTTTCGGGGATTTCAGTTTTTGTTGTTCGGCATCGCCGTGTTAGGGGTCATCAGGGGTCACCACCCCGCTTGGCTCGAGCCAAGGCGCATCTTCTTCAGGTCCTGCATGAACTACGTGGACCTCACAGTGAGTGTGACCTCGCTGGTGGAGATGACGGTGACGAGACTCGGACGGTCGTATTGGTATTTGTGCATACCCAAAGGCCCACACCGCACTTGCGATTTAGGTCTACTTGGACTCTTCGGGGGGCGGATGTATTGGGATGTAAGACATGGCTCCAACTCGGGAAAACCGGATAAAAACATGAGACTTCAACTGGTTGTAAGACTGGACATGCATCACATTGTGACATGCGATCAACTGCGATCAATCTAGCTTTCCGTCCCACAGGAGTTTGAACCAGCCGGGTAGACCTTCACAGATGTTGTTTGCTTTGTGCTACAGCAACCAAACCACCCTGCGCTTGTGGGTGCTAGTTATTCCTTCATTCATAAGTTCCGGCACAGCAGCTAGGTTTTGTATGTTGCTTGCCTCAAAACCAGTTCGACTGATGTTTGCT